TCTCTTCCTACATATAGAGAGAGTGCATGAATAACAAATCACAGTACTACCTTGTACTGTAACTGACCTGTATTAAGTAGGATAAAGACAGACAGAGAGTCTTGCAAGTGTGTCTCCTGTGGGTCAAGTCATTCTAAAGACAGCACTTATTTAATGGACTCTGAATCGACTAAAGCAACTGCCAGCTCTATACTACTTAGCCCAATGATCTCAATAATAATCCGGCACTAATGAGTTCTGTTAAATGTCTGAATGAAAAGTTCGTGAGTGATTTGGAGTTACGGTTCCATTTATATAGCATAAAGACTTCACCCGCTTGGTGTATTAGTAAGCAATGATACTTTATCATGCAACACACTATGTTTTAAGAATGCCTAAACGTGTAATTAAACATTACAACGGTCTGCAATATTGACACTGTTCTACAGTGTACCTTTGTCAGGTTTGTTTGTCAGTACAAGTATATACATTAATAAAGGAACATACTCAAATAAGAACAAATAAGGTGTTAAGAAGCTTATTTGCTCAGTAGGCTTACTGGCTTCACAAGCCAACATATTAGCTTAACTTGAATGCTAATCACGTTAGGTAAATTAGTTAACTAACAAGCCTTCGCAACAACACACACAAGACACAGCTTCAGGTTTAGTAAAGAGCTGCTGATGTGCATGTTTTTCTAAAATGACAAACTAAAAGGAAAAGGGTAAAGGAACACAGCAGATGTTCAGCTAACTGCTTTCCTTAGGTTGGAAGCTGAACTGTGAAAAGCAGAGATTTTTCTCATCATTAAAAAAAGCTGAATACTGTAAATGCAAAACTATATGCATGCTAAAAGGTACCATTAAAAGGAAAAATTAGCTCAAGGACTATTAAAGGAGCACATGTACATCGACACTTCACTTCTGGTGCTTTCCTAATATTTTCATTACATGCAATATTTAATAGATTTTCATAATGACAAGTGGAACAACCAACCACTCCACCTTTCTATATCTCATTGCTGTCCAAAGAAAACTATGTATTCTCCATTCTTGTCGATTTTTATTTTTCTACATCATTTCAACACACCAGATACCCCTTAACATTGTATGAAAATTTCATGATGAATGGACTAATAAAAATGCTCTAAAATCACTTGGAATAAATATCTTTACATTAACTTACATTGAAAGGTAAGAGTGTTTTTGCCTTCTCCTGTAAAGTTAGTATGTTGATGATACTTGTTTTTCTTAGGACAGTGACGATATGTTTATATGTCTACCTCCTAAACCTTATACACCGCATTATACACACACGGATGCTCTGAAACTACTGAACATTCCTTTTATCTTATCCCATTTTACCTTAGAACAGTAGTAGTATGACAACAGTTGGTGTAGTTAATGTGCTCTTACACATACCTCAAACAGAGCCAGGTTTCTATCATAGAAATCATCATCATCAACAGCATGACTGTTATTGATATACACACTGGAGATCTTGGCATTGCCATCACCTGAGAGTGAATGAGAGAGAGAGAGAGAGAGAGAGAGTTAGCTGTTACCAACTGAGGTGTAACGACTATTTCTGAGGTCAATAAACAAAATTTCATGTGTCAAAAATGTCTTAAACACCATAAACACTATTTCTATTTCATTTTTGTTTTTGCTGTGTTTACATGTTTGATGCTGGAATAGGTGTGGTTAGCGGCGGTACACCACTAACAGTGGCATGCGACCGTGTAAAGGTTGCCATGGTGATAGCATAACGTCGTTGTTCCTTTCCATGGGCAGGGCGATGGTGTTTGCCTCTATTTCTTCCAAAAAAGTGTCCTGAACACACACTAATGTTTCTAAAGGTGTATCTTCATTGGAGTTTGGGTTGTATACTTTGTGAACACTGGGACATCAACTATGAGCATTCATCGCCTGGGTTTCCAAAGAAATTGACAACTGGTTTATTCCACTGCTGCGGATGACAGGTTTGCTGCAACAGGTTTGCAATCGTCCATATCCTATAACCCACAGACTTCATACACAACTTTAGTCATTTGCACCCCCCCTTACTATTTTAATAGGATACACCCAGAAGCCTAGTTTTGATCAGTGACTGGTTTCCACAGTAAACGAGAGACCCTCAGAACTGAGCTCTGTGGTCTGCGTCACACCCATATAAGGAACTCTGGTTCTAAGCAGGTGTTCTCTATGACAAGCATGAATGCCATTTCTAAAAAGAGCCGCATGTAGTTAACTTAAATGTTCCAGAGGCAATACATTGTGCCATATGCACATTTTCCCTGTGAATGTCATTGGATCCTCTGAATTTGGAGGTCACTAAATAGCCGAAATACAAATATTGCTAATGCATCAAAACTAGGCATTGAACTACCATCATAAGACTGGTAACCTCACCAAAATGTCCCATGCAAACAAGCAAACTTTCTCAAACTTGACAGATAGAGTGCTTTGGCCATTTTCAGCTACAGTTTGTGTTGTTGCTGTTAATATATAACTGTATTAACCCCTTAAAATCCCAGGCTTATTACATACTAAGGCTCATTGTTCAGTAACTACAGAGACTTCAGTGCAAACTGGTTGAGCTACTCTTCTGGTTCTTCAAAGGTATTATAGTAAAGAAAATGGTTCTATGTAGAACCACAAACTCTCATAAAACCCTCTGCATGATTAGAAGGCTCTTTGCATCATGAAACAGCTTTTCAGATTGGTGGAGAATGTGTTGTATATGGTTCTAAATAGCACCAAAAAGGGTGCTTCTATTGTTACGATAACAAGCTTGTAACCTCATAATTTAGGGAATCCACTGACACTGGGGTCATACACAGAACAGAATGTATCAGGTTTAGAACATTTTTACCACAAGAAGTGAGAGACACATTCATTTTTTTTCTCGTCGATCCAGATTTCTGCTTAGACCCGACTTCCCTAATACGGGCATGACACCAACTACAGAATGACGCATGACTTCAGAGGTCTATACATGAAACCGTTATACCCTTAGTTATTAAGAAACAAGAGGAAATCTCTCTGCTGGATAACATCCGCCACCTACAAGGTGAGTTTCTGGGTGTGTAAGTGTTTGAGAGAGACACTGTTACCACAGCAGCTTCGCCATCACACTTCAGTTTCATCAGCCTCAGCAAATGTGTCAACAGTGCTACTCTCGCTTCCCCTCGTACACACATTCACATCCTTACTAGTTCACACACTCATGTGCAGACATGCACATGCAAATGCTGTAACTTCTTCTCCATGGAAGTTCCTCTTTCTGCAAATAATTAACTCACACTCGGTACATTTTGTGTGTACACATGCATAAACACAGACACTGTCAGGGGATTTATGTGCATGTGTATTGTGCAGTCAGAGACCAGCCAGAATGGCCACTAAGTGCAAGTTATTATTTTTTTGTGTCAGAAAAAAATGCATAGAACAGAAAAATTCAGCTGAAAAACCTGACGTCAGACTTTCACAGAATTTCATCTTTTTTGTCACGAGAGAGAGACAAATGAGTTTCGGTTACGAAAAAGCACTCAAAACACTAAATCTCCCCCCGTTTTCACCTGATACAAACAAAGCTAAACTAGACCGAGGCTGTTTGTGCATAGCAAAAAAGTGAGGATGAATATGGGGTGAGAAACACAGATTTCACAGTGAGGAGAAATTATCAAAATATTTTACAAACAGGCAGCTCACTTCTTGTAAGTAGAGTGAGTCTCTGCCTGGGTTCAGTGATGGAGTGCAAGAACGTCTCTGCCTTTTTTTCCTTTCTCCTGGCTCTCTTTTGGCTGCTACCTAAATCACTCATTCACTTATACTGACAATCTCACACTTCTGGATTAGTGAACAGTTTGAGCCATAAAAATCAAATGTTCGAAAATGCTGAAGGGCCAAAGACTGACACGCGTCTCTTCTCAGATTACCAGATCATCTGTGCTGTCAGATTCCGATCGAGCTCCTGACCTGGAGAACTGCTGCAGATTGTATAAATACATCAAAAGGTTAAAATCAGGCTAAATATCGTGACACATAGGCCCAGCTTAAGTATAGTGTCAATTATCTTAGTATTTAATTTGTGCACCTACTGCAGTGATTTCAGCAGCAATACATTTTTGGGTAGGCCTGTGAAAAAGATGGTTAGACCAGCTTGGTAGATACAATTTCCAAACGTGCTATGTACAGCAATGTTATAACATCAACCAGATGCCTACTGATTTCAGCAGTGCAGTCATCACCTTGTTTATTCCAACGCTTACACTAAATGGTGATACAAAACAACAGCAAGATAGCAACATACAATAGCGAGATCAATGAGAATACATAGTTCATACTCACAAGCAACACTGCAACATTATAAAGCATGAACCTGCTAACCACAGGCACCACTTTTGCCCAATAAAGATGAATTAACAAAGTTAAAATTGGACAGAGGTCAAAGAAAAACAACACAGCAAACTCATCTTGGGCTAAAGCATGATGCCACGTTGAGCATGAAAAATGTTTAGAGGCCTTTATGTCTGACCTCTGATGATGCAGAAGTAGACATCTGCTTTGGCATTTCAGCACAGACCATTTCAGTTACTGTAGTAAAAGAGCATTATAAGTACCACAGACAACAACCGTGTTTTTGTTTTTGGCTTTGAAAACGGATAGAAAATTATATATTCTACATTGTCAGGGACAGGATCTCACTTTTACAGCTCCCCAGGTACAGCGTTCGAATGCTTGAGGCTATGGCGGATAGCAATTGTTGCTAAGCAGTGACTGGAGGGCTGAGGAAATAGGTACAGCTTGCAACTGGTTGCTTGACAGATACCTTGCATATTTATGAACGATACAAAGTGTATAATGATCTTGATTTGCCATTACAAAATCACAGCTCTCAAAAAAAGACTCAATTTTAATATCTGGAAAAAATCACCTTATCTAATATTTTTCCTCATTTGATTAGGTGGGCCGGCCTGTGACACTAGTGTTCCTGGCTTCCCTCCTTTTAGCGTTAAACCAGAGTTGCAGCTTTCTCTTCCCAAAAAAGGTGCTCACAAAGGTGTAACTAGCCCTGTCTCAAATGCAGCCCTTAGCCCGGCAGTCCACCTGATAGTCCACACTTTGGTGACATCAACAATGCGCGGACCTTTAGTGTGAGAAACCCTCAAGAATGCTGACAAACTTTGGAGGTGTGGAAAAATATCCCTGCATACTTGCACTGGAAGTGAGCCTCCCAAAAAAAATGGAAACTGTAATAAAGGCAAGTGTGGACGCTGTAAATACTGAAATATTTGATATTCTACTTGGTTCTTTAGACTTGTGTAGTTGTGTAATTCTTTTTTTAAAGTTTTGTTTTTTTATTTAACCAGACTAGTCATTAAGAACAACTTCTTCTTTACAGTGGCAGCTTGGCGAAAGGCAAAGTCTCTCTGTTGAATATATGTTTTCTTTTTTTTTTTCCATATGCTGAAAAATGAATAACCGGTACGTAACTACCTACATAATTTCCGGAAATGAATTAAATGAAGGGGCGGTCTCTGACTTCTGCACAGTACTGTAGTTTCGACATGAATGAAACATACTACGTAAACACAATCATGTCTTTCAGTTTGCTTACTTTTGGCAATAATTATGCCAATGTCATTTATCTCATTCATGTCAAAATGATATATACAAAACATTCAATGAATCCCTTTCTTTCAGGATGTTCTCTTTTCCAAGTACAGTGTGTACTTGAAAACATTAGACCGTCAGCATGTGTGTGTTTGCATCAGGGCACATTCACCAGCTCAGCTGAAAGAGTCCACTGATAACTCAAATTTTGTATATATGCATAACTGACTAAAAATAACACAGATGAAACAAAAGACCAAGCAGCGCCAGAGGCTTTGGAAACAGCATTCACTTCTCCAATTCACCCTCCATCTCTCTTTTTTCCCCCCCAACACTCTGTTTCATTCATGCACTTGATCAACATCTGGAAGGGATGGGAGGTATTTGGTTGTGTAGGCACAAATGTCCATGGGTGCTGATGAACTACAGCAGCTATGGCATGATATTCTGGTTTAAAGGAACATCTCGGTGAAAACATTTATTTACATCATTTTTCCTTTAGCCCGAATGCAGTTGAATGTAGTCTACACACTGCAAACTGGGTAAACTCTAAAACTAAAGAGTATCTGGGGTAACATTGATATTGTGTCAGTTTTATTTTTTGACAGACTACTATTTAAAAAAATATATCATTTTTATTATGTGAGAACTACAATAACATGGTTACTATTTCTCAGCAGCCCAACAAGAACACAAATCTGTGACCTATAGTTCGAATGCCAGCTGAGCCATACGTAGCTTGTAGCTTCGTAAGTATTGGGCTATGTCAGACTGGCAGAAGAACAGGGTGGAGACTGACTGCATTTCAAATTGTCCATGAAAATGGGGAGAAAATGTGGGAAGGACTTTTAAAAGATATGCAAAGCTTTAAAAGGCCAGCCAATATGACCATTTATTACAGCTTTCCCCAACTGCTTGACCATATTGTATACAATTAACCTTTTCTAAACCTCTTAACTGCTGACCAGTTTATGCAGCCTGCACATTTTCACTATCTAATCAGTATAACTGACCACAACATAGATTCACTCGTACTGCCTTCCTCATGCTCTCGTTATTTCCACTAAAATTACCTTTATAACATAGTTTTAACAGATACTAACATCTTAATACACCAACTAAAGCCCTGCGCAAGATGGATTAGTTTCACCTGACGAGGAACAGTAATTTTAGTGTTTACAGACAAGATTCAAGATTTCAGCTCATTAGAAATATGCAACGTGTATAGTTTTAACATCTCTGATAGTAATAAGTGATGTGTAAATGACCTAATTTGCTGAACACCGATTGTTCTCGGTGCTCATGACGATGTATTAACAAAACCATTCACTGTATTAACAAAACTAACAGACACAGCAATATGCCGTGTTGTCATTGTTATTGAGCATCAGACCCATCGCAGTACACCGACTACAGCTATGTTTCAGTCTCAACTGTCTGTGGCGATGTTTGGCAAATTAACCTTTCCTTTTCTCACAGAACAAGCACTCTGAGAAATATGAGCCTTTACCACACTCTTAAAAAAGATATAGAACCAAGAACACTCAAAGAACCCTCTGCATGATTAAAGGGTTCTTTGTATCACAAACAGGTTCTTCAGAATGATGGAAAATGTGCATGAATGTGCTATGGACGGTTCTATAGAATTTTTCTGATAAGGGTTCTATCCAGCACCCAAAAGGGTTCTTCTATTGTTACAAGCTTGACAGTGCAACAATAGTAGAACCCTGATGGGTGCTATGTAGAACCTTTTTCAAAAAGGTTCTATATAGAACCATCTACAGCACATTTTCTGTCAGTCTGAAGAACCATTTCATGATGCAAAGAATGCTTTAATCATGCAGAGGGTTCTTTCAGTGTTCAAGGTTCTATACAGAACCAGATACTTTACTAAAGAACCCTTGAAGAACCATCTTTTTTCAGAGTGCAGGAACTTAAAGAGCTGAAAGGCCTTTACCACCACTCAAAACTTAAACCTAGAACTCCAGTAACACCACAACTACCTCCTCTGACTCACCGTGTTCCATGTGGCTGCGGTCTGGGGTGTCCACTCCAGCAGTGGTGGTCAGCGCACCGGACACTTCGCTGGGCGGCTCACTGCGGTTGACACTCTCCCGGGAGCCGAAGCGCACCCGGCCACTGGAGCGCGAACTGAGGTCGGGCGATGTGTCGGAGAGGCCTGGGACATCCTCGGCTTTGGTTGGAGTGACCGTGAAGCGCACTGAGGATGCCATGGCTTCCCGGGGCTGCTGGGGTTCCGCCAGGGTGACCACTGGGACGACCCGTCCACTCTCAGCTAACTGTGTGGGCAGGAACGGGTCCGGGCCGGCACGTCTCCATCGAAAGTGAGTGAGAGAGGTTTTTAGATATGCTCGCCTGTTTTCTTACGGATGGATGGATCCTACAGCCTTGACGTGATATAGCTTATGGGTCGAAATACTTATAAAACAGCTGAGAATTTGGCTTATAGGTTACCAAGTTTCTAAAGAGGTATGAAATCGCTGGCGATTAAGTGTTGTAGCTTAGACTGAAGTATGAGACAGATCAAGAGGAATTTTACCCTGTTCCAAAATGAAATTGTACTTGAGATTGATATAAGGTCCGAGGTAGAAACGCTCTCAGTAAAGTGCTCTATACATTCGCAAGGTAGTCTTCTAGTGGAAAAATAGAGAATATGTCAGAAAAATGGCTTTCGTTGAATATTCAGGGAGCAGGTTGTACATTCTGGTACTAACTCTTAGAGATATGTTGGCAATGCCTTCCTTCATAGAATGTAAACCCTCCCTGCAAGCTGACTAAACTATGATATGGGCCCACTTTTGTCATGTAAATTTAAAGTGCTCTTATTCATACAAATTCCAGGAATGAAAATTAGGCTGACGTGACAAAAGTTGTGTGTATGTGTGCAAACAAAACAGGGAGAAAGAGAAAGGTGGATACAGTAAGTAAGGCCATATGGAACAAAGGCAAGGCAACTGACTGACATTCATGTCCTTTCAAACTATGCCAGGAACGTGAACTTAAAGTAGGAGTGCACTACCTTCAGTTAATTCAGCCTAACAGTGCCCTGTAGTTTAGTTTTAGTGTGTTAAATTTGAATCCATCATGCTAAACGACTCACACACCAAGATAAACCAGAGGTGACCAGCGCACATCTAATGTAATCATTCTACGAAGGCGGTTCAAACCGGCTGAGGCAACGACTCGTGTTCGTGTTGTCAAACCACATAAGAGGCACAAATTTGTACAATTTACCCGTATTTTCTCGGCTTTCCTCACGGACAGCCCCGGCTCTCGGGTGTGCATCTCTCTTGTGGGGTGTGGCCGGTCTTCACATAATAAATAAGCCACCTCAAACTCTTGAGAAAGCGCGCAAGGTTTCGTTATGGCCAAATGGGGTTAAAGGGGAAGTCCACCAATTTTTCAAATTTTCTGACTAATTCAATAGTTAAGATGTCAACCAAGTCCATTCATAGTGGTTTGGCGTGAAATGCTCCGGTGCCCGAGTGCCAAAGACACTGATTCACATGAGTTTTGTAATAAACCTTTGCCTTAAAATGTATTTGAATCCATTTATTTTAAGTGGAGAGGTACATGCAGGATGTTGTACGGAAAAATAGCACCCGAAGAAAACTTATTTTCAGATTTAAGACAATTTTATCATCACCACTATTATATCAAAAACACGCGTAGGTTCACTGGTGGTTTTGAAGAATAAATAAAATGGCAATATTTGTGCTGTAGGCATGCTGACCCCCGGTTCCTATCACCACCACTGTACATAAAGATGTCTCTACAGTGAACAATTTCACAGCAAACCACTCTGAATGACTCTGTTTACATCTCAAGGACTGATTTATTCAGAAATTTGGAAAAATCGGTGGGGCTGCCCTTCAGATAGCGTATCAGACTTTTCGTAGAAGCTGATGAAAGCTAAAAGGCCTGTCTGGATCAAACCGGAGCGCGTCTCGTCTCGACGTTTCGACCCTTCGAGGTGAAAAATAATTTCCTAACCCCGACAAGTCGTTTATAAACGGTTATAACTCAGCCGCAGCGAGCGTGTCGATGTTGCCACCTGCTGTAGCTAACGCTAGCATCACGCAGCTAGCACCGCTAGCATCCATATTAAGCCAATTAGGATTTCTGGATCCGACCGGTCGCTCGAGCCCGTGTCCGCTTTCATGCCTAACGGACGAGCGAACAGTTCGCGCATGCAGGGGCTGCAAACTCACACTGACAGCACCGGGACGGACTGTTCAGTGACCAGAAAGTGCACTGCGCCAGCGATGCGGGCAACGTTATACGAGGCTGAAGACGGATTTTCTCGTTCCACCTTAAGCAGGAAAACGCTGTAAAAGAACGTTCGTTTTAAAACATTTTAAAATTAACGAACGCCTCACGCGCCAGCGTAACTGCGGCACCATTTAAGGTGGAACGGGAAAATTCGAACAACAATCCGACCAAAGCCTCGTTTAACATTGACAAGCGGCAGGCTAGCGCCTAAAATGACCACCCAAGCTCCACGGACCGCTCTCCAAATAAGCTAACTACGTCTTTTTTGACTCCTTGGTTTGAATTATTTCGTTTTAAACCCTCCACTTCTTTGAGACTGTCGTCACTTGGCGACAGTGAATTAGCACATCTGGCTAGCGTTACATTCGTGACAGCGCCTGAGCGTAAACAAACACACAGGGGTTTTATTAGAACATTTTAGAACATTTACCTTGTGCCACCTTGCCTCACGTCCAAGGGAATCCGTGCTTGAGCTGGATGTGCTGAACTAAATTAAATCCATTCATGGTTGAGTTGTTACCGCCCGTCCTCCTGTCTCAACTGAACTCCAGCGCGCTTCCGTCCTGCGTGTGCCCTTTCGCTTTCCGTACGTGGCCGAAATGCAGCTTGGGTAATGTAGTCTTTTACATTATGTGAGGATAACACGCACACAGACACGCAGAATATCAGCAAAATCAAATGTTTTATTGTAAATGTGAGGCTCCTGCGCACAAGTATCAAATCACAGTACAGGGCAGGGGTGATCATGTTAAAAAAAGTAGTTCATATCAAATTATGCTGAACAGAGTAATACAATAATCCATATCATCAGTATCACAGGTCAGTCTTTGGGTAGGGGGATACAAACACACACACACACACACACACACACACACACACACACACACACACACACACACACGATAATGGCTTTGTGTCCATTTCACAGCACAGGTCGTGGCTGTTGGGTCAGCAGAAGCCCGAAACGTTTCTTGATGGTCACTCGATGCCGGGAAAACTTGTCATCAGGGGAGAACCGAGCCGGGTGTGCAGAGCTGGTGGGTCGGCCTTCTGGATCCACCTTCTGAAATGGAGAAGTGAATAAACAAATAAATAAACAATGAAAAAAAAAAAATCAATCACAAAGCTGTTCTTTGAAAACTCACTAAATTGGATAAATGCTGTTTATTACTACAAATGAAAATTGCGACAAAAAGAAGATACAAAAGACAAACAGAAGATAAATAAATGCATATATAAGGAAAAAGAAAACAAAACCGAACACTTCAGTTTAGTTTCTTTAGTAGAGAAAATGGTTTTATATAGAACCATTAACACTCAAAGAACCCTTTACTCGATTAAACGGCTCTTTACATCATGAAATCGTTCTTCAGATTGATGAAGAATGTGATGTATATGGTTCCATAAAGACCTTTATTGAAAAGGGTTCTATATAGCACCAAAAACGTTTCTTCTATTGTTACAAACTTAATATTGTAGTAATACAAGAACCCTTTTGGTTCTATACATAACCTTTTTGAAAATGGTTCTATACAGCACGTTCTCCATCAGTCTGAAGACCCATTACACCACGTGAAGAACCCTTTAATCATGTGTTCATGGTTCTATTCAGAACCTTTTTCTATACAAAAGAACCCATGAAGCATCATTTTAAGTGTGTACAACTATTAGAAAAGAAGGCCAACAAGGTTTTTAACCACAATTTGTACAGAAAATACAGACATCACAGTCTTAATAACAGTGATAACAGATAGATAACAGTGAATCACAAGTACCAGTTGATGATGGACATATTTGACACGCAATGATTAAGATGCAAACAGTGTCATTCAGAGTGGTTTGGTGTGTAAGGCTCTTTTTTACAGAAACTTGGAGTCAGAGTTGTTCACAGTGGTGGCGATAGGAACCAGATGTCCACCTTTAAAACCTCCCTCACAGACAGTTATTACATGAAATGGTTATTAATATGCTACTCGATGTCTAAGACATTATTTTATGATAGTTTTGTGATAAGTTTTTGGCTTAAAACATCTTGTTAATCCATTTATTGTAAGCCATTAATGTTTATTTTCAGATTTATGACTATTTTACCATCATTAACATTACATACCAACACTCAGAATACATGTGTAGGTTCACTGACGGTTTTAGATAGTTAACAAATGGCTATATTTGTGTTGTAAATATGGCGACCCCTGGTTCCTATCACCACCACTGTAAATAAATCAGAGTCTGTAAGTTTCTCTACAATGAACCACTTCACATAAAACAACTCTGAATCACTTTGTTTACATCTCAAAGACCGAATCAGTCAGAGATTTTTAAAAATCGGTGGAGTTACCCTTTAACGTTTACACGCTACTGCTCTATACAGCATAGGCGTAAACAGTTTAATTAGTTTTGCATATCTCAACACTTTCATCCATACACAGAACTGCCAGAGAGAAAATAAAAAACGGAAAACAAAAATAATAACAAATATCTAAATAAAAAGGCAATTAAAAAGCAATCCTAGCGGATCTGGCTCACCTTCAGTGTGTAAACCCTCTCTCCGTTCTCGTTCAGATAGAACTGCAGAAACATGGTGGCTGAAGCTGAAGTCCAATATTCGGCTGGTTTGGTGGTCTGCGGTGACGGCTGGCTGAGCCAAAACCTTTAAAGCAGCTTAATTCGATAAAAATCGAGTTACAAACAGCAAATTTTCAAAGAGCAGCGCCGTTTCTAGCACACGAGGTCCTTTAAGCCACCTCCGTTCAGCGCAGAGGATATCCGACGGCTGAAAGACGCGGAGGATGATGGGAAATGGAGTTCTTCGTAAACTAATCGGCCCTGAAGAGCGACTGCCCTCTGCCGTCATGGACTGGGAAAGGCCGAGCATGCTAACTAGCGAGAACTGAAATCCTGACACGATAAAATACTTTTAAAGGTCGAAGTTAGAATTTTCACATTTCAGATTTTATTTTTTAACATGTTTAAGAACATTGTGTACTTGTCAAAACTGAATTCCCGGCCAAGGAAATTTGCAATGCCAAAAAATGCTAATAAATAGCGTCTTAATAGCGAGCTTCTTGTTCGAATTTTTCCGTTCCACCTTAAATAATCGCCGGAATGTAACTGCTGCACCATTTAAGGTGGAACGGGGCAATTCGAACAAGAAGCTGGCGAATATGAAGCCGGTTAACTGTTTTAATACCATGCATTAAACGGGCGTTGCTGTTTTTAATAAAGTGTTTTTGCCTGTCCAGAATGTTTACGTTACGTCTGTTTGTTTTCGAAAGTTAACTGATACAACCACCGAGTAGCCCGGACTGCTAACGCTCGGCTGACTGAAAATTAAGAGCCTCATTACTGCATGTGTTCCGTGGTTGACCTGTGCTTTCAGAGGTGGGTAAAGGAGCCCGACACCGTGCAGTAAACATAATATATAAGAATAAATACGGTAAAATGTTATTACTTCAACAGAACAGCGACCCAAAGATAAATAATGTAGCATTATTTATTTATAATACTTTATATCGTTAATCTTTGTGAAGGATAGAGTTTATATTTTCTAGCGTATTTTTACTTTTCCCGTTGTGTGACTAATAAAGGATTATCTTGTCTTATCTTAAAAGGAAATCTTTGATTAGAGGTAACTTATATGTGACATGGTGATTGTTTTTTAATAAGGCTTGGCCACAAATTAATATACTGAGTCCACAAATGAATATATTGAGGCCATGAGACTATATTAAAGCCACAAATTAATATAATGAGGCCACAAATTAGTATATGGAGACCACAAATGACTATATTAGGGCCACATTTTAATATATTGGTGCCACAATTTTAGTATATTGAGACCTCAAATTACTATATCGAGACCTCAAATTAGTATATTAAGACTACAAATTACTCTCTCAGGACAACAAATTAATATAATACGTTCATGAATTAACATATTGAAGTAACCAATTAAGATAGAGGCCATGAATTACTTCAGTGAAGCCACAAATTACTATGCGGAGACCACAAATTAATGTACTGAGTCCATGAATGAATATATTGAGGCCATGAGACTATATTAAAGCCACAAATTAATACATTGAGGCCACAAATTACTGTATTGAGTTCACAAATGAGCAGATTGAGGCCACAAATTAATATATTGAGTCCACGAATTAATACATTATTATAAATAATACAAAGTCACGAATTACTATTTTAAGGCCACAACTGAATATATTGAGGCCACAAATGACTATATTAGGGCCATGTTTTAATACATTGATGCCACAAATTAGTATATTGACACCTTAAATTACTATATTAAAACTACAAATTACTATCTCAGGACCACCAATTACTATGTTTAGGCCACAAATGATACATTTAGACCAGGAATTAATATATTAAGGCCACAAATTATTATATTGAGTCCATGAATTAATATATTGAGGTAACAAATTAAAATAGAAGCAAGTAATCACTACACTGAAGCCACAAGTTACTAATGATAAGTGTAGATAAAAAAATCAATATATTAAGGCCACAAATTAATATATTGAGTCCATGAATTAATATATTGAGGTAAAAATTAAGATAGGGGCCATGAATTACTACACTGAAGCCACAAATTACTACACTGAAGCCACAAATTACTATACTGAGGCCACAATTTAATATATTGAGGCCACAAATTAGTTTACTGAGACCACAAAATACTGTATTAAGGCCACAATTTAAAATATTGAGGACACAAATTACTATATTAGGGCCATATTTTAATATATTGACACCACAAATTTGTATAGTGAGACCTCAGATTACTATATTGAGACCATGAGTTGTGAGAAACTTGGCTCGTGGCCTTAGTATATTAATTCATGGGCACACCTTATTAAAAAATAATCACCATGTCACCTTAGGGCCTACGTAGGTTGACGTGTAAATAGGATAGAAAAAAACTTAAAGGTTCCCTAAAATGCATATATTTTAACTGTTAATACATTTACTGCTTCCCAGGCCCAATAGGTAGAAATGCGGTAGAACCTTTCAGTACATCTAGTATCTGTGAGTGTAGGAGGCCATAAATTACCACACTAAGGTTTGATATTTCATAGTTTGTTAGGCGCTCTTCCTGTAGTTCTGTGATATTTTAGAATTAAAAATGTTATGTTAAAGCTGGAAAGTGACAGCAACAGCCACTCCAGATGCTGACCCCAGAGAACAGATTCAAAGTAGTTTGAAGAACAGAAAAAAGGAATTGGAACTAAAGACAAATGACTAAAATGTAGATACTAGATGAACTGCCTCACAAATGTACTACAGTATATTGCTGCTGTCAGAAGAAAACCTCCCATCTCCATTTTTGTCATTTTTCAGTTTTTGACATAGTTTGAAAATGCCTGTTGCTCTTTATATTGTGTGTAAATTTCATGAAGAATGGACCAACAGAAATGACCCAAATTGACTTGAATGTCCTTTGACTTCCATTAAAAGTAAAGTAAGTTTTTTCCTTCTCCTGTAAAGTTACCATTTTGGAGATACAATGTTTTCTTCCGACAGCAGCGATACGAAAAGTATTATCATTTGAAAATATTAGTAAATTTTGAACAATGTTTATTTAAGTACGATGGTAATATAACTGATCATGACCCTCTGATGCTGGTGAAATACATATCAAAAGGTATGTAGTGAGCTGGCCGGTTATTTGTCAGTGTGCAAATACAATAGGGAGCTATTGTAGACTGTAGAAGCCTATGCTACATATTTATAACTGATTATAACTAAGTAGTTGCAGCTTAAGCTGTTCAATTTAAAGATCAATGCAGCTAATCATTTCTGACAGTATTATATTACCAGGAATGTGTGTGATTTTATTCTGAAAAGATTTCAGATAATTTGTTCTCAAAGCCTCAAACCTGAAACATTTTAAATAACCCAATCAGCTGCTGCTTTGTTAAAGGAAATACTACACCAGACTTGCATTCCCCATGATTATACTTCTTTTTTATAAGCTCCATCTCTTTCACTCTTGGTTACAGATTTTGTTTCCGTCAAAGAGCATATTAACACAGTTGTGTGACCTGTAGACCTCACTGATGGAGCGGACCACCTTCTCTCCTCCTAAAGAGCATAGATGGGGTAGAACAGAAGAACCAAACTCATTAGACGATGGCAGTAAACTGTTCAAAGAGGATCCTGTTGTTGCTTTTGACTTGGAATCATCTGGGACTAAACAGGAAACTCACCTGAGACCAAACAGCGCTCCTGAATTAGCGGCCTCTACTCTTCTGTCACCTTATGACCTTTCAAAGACGAATGCGCCGGAGCCAGCAGTTGCTGAATGGACCCCAGAAGATCCTTTCATAAATAATATGCCTTTAGAACCTTGTGAACCACTTTGTGAAGAGAAACCGAGACCTGTAGTTTCACCTTGGCTAAACCACTCTCCTCCCCGTCTTCCTTTTGAGGACATTGTTTTCGATGGTGAGACTGGTGTGATCCAGACACATGCTGCCCTACCTGAAGACCTATCAAGGCAGACAAAAAATGCTCCAGTGACTATACCTGACAGTGATTCTACATCTCTTTCAGCTTTTTCTGAAATATTAAAGAACGCTGATGTGAAATCAAGGCATATAGAGAACATTCTCAACTCTGCTGAGCTCGTTTCATTTCAAATGCGATCTCAGCCGTCTGTGCAAGCACATGAAAATGATCTTGCATGCCTGCAAACAGCTCATCTGATTCCAGAATATTCTGTTCCGGTTCAGCTGCAGTCAGAGCCAAATGTATGGCTGCAGGAATATGATCAAGGGCATTCTAGTACAGCTGGACTGGGCCATTCTTTTCCACTTCCCTGCTTCGAGCCCACAGAGAAGGCTGCCGTGCTGGCATTTAAAGATAACCTGAAGCCAGCACAGCATGTCATTTCTCAACCACACCTTGGACAGTCTGAGCCTCTAGATGACACTGATCTAGTATCAGCAAGAGGACTGCAGCTGCTGTCTACATCAGTTCAGCCTCTGAGGCTTGGTGCTGGGACTTTTCAGGACCTTTCAGGACCACCACGGCATTTACGTGCACCTTCCTTTTCCCGATACCACTCAACTAAACCCCATTCTAATGCCTGTCAGACACCAGTTTTGTTTGATTCAGACCCACAACCAGTCCAACTCGTCAGGCCTCCTTACCTTCCACTAGTCCTACCGCTTGATGTCAACTGTGTGCAACCAGATAATCAGTTGGCATCTGTCTGCTTCCAGCCATGCCTTCAGCCCCTGCCATACCCTTTTATTTCTGATATGAGGCTTATCCCAGCAAGCATTGCAATTGATAACTGGGCGCCTCTCGTGCCTCAGATAAACCTTAACAGTAGCTCATCAGTATTGGTGCCTCATTTTAACCCTCCGTTATGCTACAAGGACCCACTCTCCATTTCCCCACACCTTCAAACAAATATTAGCAGTCACTTAGCTCATCCAAACACTCATGGTCCATTACAGCTAGATGGTCTTGAGCAGCCCTCTGTGGTACAGTCGACATGTGATGGGCATAGCCACTCTCAGAAGCTGTATGAAAACTACAGGTTGTGGCAGATATACTGCGAGGTAGCAAAGTCTGTCTACACAAGCAGCCCTGATGCAGAGGCCTTGGCTTGCTTCTTCATGTGAGTATTATGCTACAGTCTGACTGAATCATACACAGAATTCAACTTACTTTGATTTAAATTCAAGCAATAAAGTATAACAGTGTCACACTGCTAAAGCACTTGTCAATACCTTTGTCCT